ATTTAGGGCTTTTCTGAGTCTGTCCAGCATACGCCTGACAACAGCACCTTATTGGACAAACCGTAAAATAAGGCAGTGAAATAATTATATGTGTTACAGAAATCATAAAACTATGACATGGCATTTAATATATATTGGGGTTGAAGCAGGGAGCGGTGGCAGTGTGTTGGCTGCATAGGCGCAAGTAAAGATCCATTCCGCTCTGAAAAGGTGAAGGAATAAACAGTGGTTCAGCCGTAGAACTCGCCTAAAGAAAGCCGAAGTGTTGTGTTGTTCCTGTATAATTTATTGTATTGTAATCTGGATCTAAACAGGCAATTATAACATTGAAAGTCGTTTCCTGTCTATTATGTGCATCAGCATACACTAAGAGCAGTAACAGTGGTATACTGTAGCTCGGATCTGTGGAATACGACAAATCAAAGTAGGACCTATGGACAGGAGTATCACCACGCCACTGTTCAGGCAGTGGTATGAATAGCAGTACAGGAGCTCTGGAAACAGTCAGCACAGTGAGAGGTCATGACTGTTAACTGCAAAGCATGTCTTGGAATAGAGATTTCCAGCTGCAGGTCCTGGGTACCTTCTGGGGTCTTGCATGGTCCACCCAGACAAAGGGAAGGGTTTGACCCCACTGTACATCTATCAACATGTAAAACCCAGCAGTCTTCTACAGTAGGGGGCAGCGTGTCACAGTGGGTAAGTTTCCTGGTAAGACTCATGACTTGTGGGTTGTGGGTTCGAGTCTCTGCTGCAGACATTGCTGCTGTACCTTGAAAGAGGTACTTTACCCCAGTTCTTCCAATTCATCCGGATGCATAAATGGCAGTGGTATTGCTGGGGAGGGATAATCACTGCAATGGACCATTGGGGGCTGTCATGTGATCTCACGTCTGCCTAATGGCACGGAGACTAGGATGAGCTATAACTTTCCTAATACAGAAGAGGTGTGAGGAGAGCACTTATGGTGGGTCTGTTGACCTGCAGTTTGGCCTTGAACTGTTATGTCACTAACAATAACACTGTGCTGTAATAATTTCAGATCTGAAATGGATTTTAGTCCAAACCGGGGAGGGTGGTGGGGGGGATCCTGATTTAGAAGGATTTCTTGAAACGAGTCCTCCGGGTAAGAACACTCCGACAGTCCCCTTCGGGAGACAGCTCTCCAGGCAGCCAGGACTCCCTTGCTCCCTCAAGGGAAGGTTCAGCGCTGTCATTCTCATGCTGACCTGCGCCTTGTGGCTGAGTGACAGGCGCACAGGGAAGAGGGGCCAACAGGTCCAGAAGAGAAGGAGATAAGCATAGCTTCTCTGTCACGGAAGGTGACAATCAGGGCTACGCCGATCTTTTATTAACAGCCACTTTTTGCCATCCTTTCATCAAGAAGCGTCTCCAGCAATAATAACGCATAGTAATTTCAAGGCCACCTGATACTGGTGTGATTTAAAAGCCCTGCGACTCTTGAATATTCTTTCTCAGCCAGTGCTCGCTCTTTTCTCCTGACAGCGCCTGCTTTCAGATAAAATATAGCAATAAGCCAGCCACAGATAAATATTCTGCACAAAAAATCAGCCTGTGGGAATCTTGGCCAATACAGTTTTTGGCACGGGTTCTCCTCCTTCTTTATTTTGCAATATTCGAGAAACAACAGCTTCCCCTTCTATTGGATTCCTGAAAGAGTCACTCTGGCACTTGTTAAATGATGTCCATCTGCTTCACTTGTAGCAGATGCCTAGCACAGAAGCAAACAAAACAATATTTTGGAGGCAGTGTGTTTTCGGGCAAGCAAACGGCTATGTTATATATTCCTAGTATGCCAGTAATAAATAATTCCCCAAAAGTTCTACTTAATCCATCTTGATAAAAGTTTTTTTTTTTCCAGGGCTTTTATATATGTTATTCAAATTTGACACTATTCATTTTTAAAGTCACATTACAAACATTACTTTGATTTTACTGTAGATTAAATGACTGGGCTGGCTTCTCCATGCCCAGTACTCTCACTGTTATATGAAAAGAGTATCTGTTTTTTCAGTCCTGTTGAGGTATTGTTTTTTATTGTTTTACATAAAATATTCTCGTTTGGGGAGATGGTTTTAAGCACTTAAACTGTACAATTCTCTAGGATTCAGTAACTGCCTGGCTCTTGGTGTGACTTAATTTAGTTTTAATGAGTCTCTGTTGCCTATTCAAACACTACTGTTTTCATTTAACATGTTTCTGACTCAACCATGTTAAATGTTGCCTATCTTTAAAAAAACATACCATGTTAATGCTGCATATTACAGGTTGGATACATATTTTAATGCATCCCAAGTCCTGTAGAGCCATTTTCTGTAAATGTGAAGCTAATTGCGGCACATAAGAAGATTTGGTTTGTATCTCAAGCTGTAGATCTTTGAAGAACGTCTAGAGATCTCCAAAACAGTAATCTCCTTTTGTGAAAGTACACAACACTTAAGGGGACATGACAACTCAGAGCTACAAGGGGAAGTGAAATGTTATGCATTAATTACAAAGGAACAAGTAAACGTTTATTCCGTGGTGAAAAGAAAAGAGACAATGTTTCAGCTATGGAGCCTTCTTCAAGTGTGTGTTAATTGTGTTAGCTTTACCGGGTTAACATGAAACAAGTAAATCTGGACCTAATTTTTCAATTCAAAGATTTCCTCTCACTTTATTTTTGTAAACTCTGTTATTGTATTTTGTTTTAACAGGAAAGAATACACAATTCTACTCCAGAAAGAGGAGTCAAAGAAATTTGATCTTGGTTAATATACGATTGCAGTTTCTTACTGGCCTGTAAATCTCTCTCTTGCTCAGCATAGTTGAAGATCATTTCATTTATTGTGATCTATATCATATCACATGGATCAAAATACAATTTTCAGCAAGAAGAAAAACATAGAAAGGGATTCCTGGCATTTAATTTCCCATTAAAGGGTAATTTGGCATAAAAAACTCTGGCACATGCAATGGAAATCTCCAACTCCTTGTTTTCAATGAAATTCCCTTAAGGACAATTTTTTTAAACAAAGGCCCTTAGTTTTCCACTGGAAAGACAAAGAAAATCCGAACCCACCATCTCCTGCCACATGTCTGATTATTCATCGGACTTCGGGATTGGCATTTATTGTGTGTACATTGGAGTCAGGTTCCGTTAGCTGCCAATTGTCTTATTAATGCACAGCTCAACCACCACACCCTGGTTAATTTCGAACGGCAGTTTGGTTTCAGGAACGCGCAAGTGAGGCGGAGGTATATTAATTCAAACCATCAGTGCCAAGGACCTGGAAAATCCAGTTTTCTCACAACCAAGAAATACAGGCCTGAAATTTCAGACGCTCTCTAATTATCAAAGGGCTTCACTGCAATAATATGTTGGAATGCACTAAATGTTACAAAAGGAATGATGCAAAATAAAGACGAGCTATTTTAACCACAAGGTTGCACGTACAAATTGTACGGTGACTTATTTCGTTATGTAAGATTCTAAACAGAACTTGGTAGGAACACTTTAATGTGGCCAAATATCTTTATTCTCTTAAAACCCTATGCGGTGAGGTTATATTGTTAAGAAACTCTAATGAAACCAATAAATTGTGGGAATGAATGAAAACAGGTGTGAGGCACAGAGCAATCAAGTGGTCCAACTACAGTAGCTGGCGATAAAAAGGTTCTGTTGTCTTACCATGATAAAAGTCTGCCACCTAACTTTATCACAAAAATATATATTTTTTTAAATAAACAGATCTGGCGAATGAATCTGATATCTGGGTGGCCTGTTCTGACTAGAAGAGAAGAGTGTGGCAATGTTTGGTATCCAAGCTACGGTACTGTCTAGGATGCTTCTTGAGGGTGCCCCTTTACGGATTTAAAACAAGGACGTGTTGGTAAATTGAAATCATTACGCTGTAATGTCAATTCAAGCTGTTAAATATATGTTGCTACATTGAGGTGAAGCAAGATTTCAAATGCTTGGTGGACGTACTGGGCTCTTGACGTCACAATGTGATAATGCACAGCGAATTCTCCAGAATCGCAAGTACATGCTGTCCTTATTTTTAGTACTTAGTCAATTGTTCCATTTATTCAAAAAACAGAATCAGAGTCTTGTTTTTTTAAACATAAGACATTTCTTACACATTTCTAAAGATGTAGACCGCAGCTTGTGTACTGCATAGGTTACACTTGCATCAGGTTCCTTCCTCACACTGCCAGAGAGCTTTTACCAGCCTGAATCCTAGGCACATTTATTTTCAAATAAAAACTGAGATAAGAGATGCAAACAACAGATTTGTACCTGATTAGAAGACTCGTGGTTCAAAAGGAGACATCCACATAGAAGCTACTAATATAGGGTGTTTTTGTTTTAAGCTTCAATACAAGCGACCGTTTGTCAGGCAAAGTGATTTTGCCTTAAGCAGCTTGGCATCTATTCCAGAATAAACACCCTGCCCATGCACCAGGACTCTGTAACTACTCATGTCTACATCAAAGGGATATTATACAGTAGTCCATGTGTAACATTATGATTTGCTGGCCGTGAGTTTGGGATTAGATATCCATTGTGAGAACTATGCAAACAAATTCTGTAGTGACAAATAGAGAATTAACAGTAATCCTGCTTGAAAAATACAGTAAATCTGAAGCAAAGACTTTTGTGTTGAAATATTGGTGGGCGAATGTTCAGGTTATTTCTATTCGGTTGGTATATCTTCGGAAAAAAAAAAACTAGAACACTTTAAAAATTACAAAATGTTTTGCTCATCACAAATTTACAAATTATTATGCCACGGTACTCTTCAGAACCCCGACACTGTACTGATTTTTTAAGGCACTGCTGCCAGACAGCTCCAGAAAGAAAATGAAATTATAGGTATAAAAAGAATGAAACGGTAAGATAAACATTATTCTGTTTTTTTTTAAACGCAAATCATTTTTGAAAAAGCACAACAGGTTTTTCAGTTTGTATCTGCATGAATATGTCAACTACTTACCAGCACGATAAACAAAATTGGCTTCGGTTTCTGAAGACGAAGGTGAAAGCAGTTCTTCATCATATTCATTGGAACTAAAAGACCCTGAATGGTTTCTTTTGCGGGAGTCCATGATGACATTGGAAACCATGACGTGGCGCAGTGAGTCATTGAGGTACCGATGCAATAAACTGCTTTTGTATTTGGGCGGAGACACATAATCCTCGCTGAGAGATGTGTCGGCTCTCAGTCCCGAGCCGACGACGGTGGCTTCCTTTTTAATAACACTCTGGTACATGGGCTTGCTGAACTCTGCCGTGCTCGTTGGGTTCCGGGATGCGTTTTCTCCATCTGAAAGAACGGGGGGGAGATAAAAATAAGGAGTAAGGGTGAGAGACAGTCACACAGCTATTTGTGTATGCATAGCTCTTTGAAAACTTACTTCTCCCCTTCTATTCAGTCTCAATCAGTATTCTTAGGGCCACACCTGACTTCTCTTACAGCCATAGGACTGTACCCCAGCTGCCAGCCCACACTGACTTGGGTTCAGATCACATTGAAACATTTCACCCACCCACCACTCACAACGAATGCTGCTAGGGCTCGATGGCCGGCTTCCACTGTGAATGACACAAAACCGCCATCACATGCTAGGTCCGTGATGACAAATGGCAAGTGCGCTGTAGCCTGGATTTGATCTAGACCTAATTCGTGCTAAAGAAACGATCTGACAGACGAAGACAAGAATCAGAACTGTTTAATGCTGTCGGTGCAGTCTTGATTTTGTTTTTCCCTGCAGTAGGTGTTTAGTGGGATTTAGCCAGTAGGCACAGCACAGAGGGAAAAGGTTAATCCCCCCGCCTAGCTACCCGTCAAAAAATGTCACATGCTAGGTTTCTTATACAAAGTTTTAGGGACGTTCTAACTGGAACTGAAATCCAAGCGATCAGACAACACAGAGGTAATGAAAGGTTCCCCAGGCAACAGGAGGCCTTCTTGTTCCAAAGAACAAGAGGGCCCCTTCTGGCCCATTCAGTAGTTAAGAGCTAATGAGTTAAGCAACAGAGCCCAGTAGCTTATTCCCTACTCCTACAACCCTTTGTGTAAAGAAGCGCCCCCTTTGTTCTCCATTTTAAATGCACTTCAGTATAGTTTCTACTTATGTCTTCTGGTATAAGATGTCCAAGTGATATTTTGCATTTGAAGGTGCAGAAGTACTGCATAACAAGGTATTGTGTCACTGGTTAAGAAAACACCATGCAACCATTTGGATTAAAGCAAAAGGGAATTTGAAAATTCGTACTGTACTGCTCCTGCTCTGTATTCTCTGCCTTTAAATGTTCTAAAGTCTAAGTGTGGTGATTTTATAATCCCCATGTTCTTGACAAGGGACTTTGCCTGCAACGAAACCTACATCAACAACAAGTAGGGCTACAGGGGTTTAGTCTGAACTGCAGTGACAAAAAATGACATGCCAAACACAAAATTCATGATCACCCTACATCAAGGAAATATCTAGAAAAATTGAGTATCGCAATAAAATAGTCTTCAGCCACTATAATCCTACCTGTTAACTTGGTTTTCTAGGTTTTGTTGTACAACAGAAAGTAGAATGGATTTTCCAAATAAAAGTGATGAAATGTTCTAACACGTACCTTCCGAGCATGTATCGTCACTGCTAACACTCAGTCTCTCCGCATTCCCCTGGACGTATTTGTTATATAATTTGATACGTAAAGCCCAGCTCAGGTCAGGTTGTCTTACAGTATTCTTCAGTCTCCGCCTGGCATTAGCAAACCAGTTGGATACCTGCAAATAAAAAAATAAAACAGAAATGTCATAATTTAGCACTAACCCAGAACCTCAAACCCTATATATACTGTACAGGTATTAGCACCGGTACTTTTTGGTGACCTAAAAAAAAAATCAGATTTCCAAGATGCCCAGAATTGAATCTCTTTGACTGAATGTTCAATTAATTTTGTGGAATAAAACAGAAGCTTGTGGATGCCTGTTGAGAAAGGCCTACTTGGAAAACTTGAGAATTCCAATTTGTTTTCCTCGGCAGGCAGTCATGTCCTTGTGCTCATTTTCTACAATGCTAAGACCGCCGTTTTACTGGACATAATTTAGTATTACAGTTAGCCAGGGAAACAGAGATTTCAACGCAGTTCAAGGCATTCCTTTCCGGATGCTGCCGCGTGCATTTAAGCTAATAGATCCTGCAGAAATCGAGATACTGTCTGGAGGACTGAGCTGGTGAAACCTTTCTTATTTTCTGTTGTGCTCAGCAACCCTGGGTCCTTTATTCTGAAAACACGCCCATCTGTTTTTAACCCCTCGGTTCAATGAAATTTAAAATTAATATCTAGTCCAGCAGGTTATTGCGGTAGTTAATACCGTGCTTCTGACTGGGTCCTTACATTTAATGGAAATAGGCATTTTTAAAGGAACACCTGCTGACATGTTGCTCTTTACTACAATGTCTAGTCTCCTGATACTCAGTCCTGCGCCTGAACAAAAACAACCAGGAAAAGAGTTACAGAGCCTGCAACGGCTTATGAATCATAATCTAGGCACACATTCTGCCCGTCCATCTGAGATGTGCGAGCATGATCATTTTTAAAAGGGGCACAACAAAAACAAAGGAGCATAGTCACTCTAAAGACAGAACCACAGGCGTGGTCCTTTTAATGTTATGAAGTGACAAAAAAAACCCTTTTTGTTTCTGGCATTGTTCTTATCCCCTCTTTAGAAAACCTTGCTGAAACTGGATTATTCCTACTATTAAAAGCACAAGAGATGAATTTGGGACACAATTTCTCATTCTGTACACTTGTGCCCAGCACTTGTCCCCGCCTGAAATCATTATAAACTTTAGATACTGAACAGCCCTTTGGGAAACAGTGTTAACTGTTATTCTGGGTCTACCAGTTTTATATCACATTGGAGCATCTTATATTTTACGGTTTTGAATTCGAAGCAGAAAGTCAATTCAAAGTTGAATTTTCACTTAATGAATCATAAACATCTTTTTACTCACTAAGCTGTTCTCAGGATTTCCAATTATGAAAATATTTAAAAGGTAGGAGATGCTTGAATCTTGTCCATCAGCTAAAACACTTTTAATCAAGAATATCAAATTGGAATAATATCCTTCAGAAGTCACAAGTTGAAGAAACATTATCACTCCTACATTATCTCAGACTTGATTGGGATCTTCTTACTTTTCTAATTATATAAATACTAGGAGTACTTGCCAGTAAAAAGCTTTGAAAATCCCCCACTTATCGAAAACATGGGGGTAATACAGGATCTGTCATGTGCTTCCACAAAGTATTTTATTCACAGACTTACAATTGCATACCATTTTTTTTTCATTAAAAAAATAAAATGTCAGTTTATACCAATTCTTATCAATCTGGACAAGTCATGCTTTTAATCATTAAAAAAAACTTATTCAAGATGGCCATTTTTTGAGAATGTAAAGCACATTATTCTGAAAACCACATATTCTGACTTTTTTAGGATTTGGGATGGACATTTTCCTTTTCTAGTTTAATGTAAATTAATAAGATTAACATAGAATTATTTCCCAAATGTATACTTCAATTTTACGTGTCTATGAGACAGTCTATGAGAAGTTAGAATCTGCATGGACTTCAAAGATGTTTAAATTTGGCAGCACCTTTCTGTAGAAGAAGACTCATTTATAATAACATAAATACAGTACAGTGGATTTGGAAGGATCACACCTGTCTTTTAAAGCCCTTTTCAATTTATTTGAATGTTTCAGTCTGATTTATGTGAGGAAAATTGGAAGAGAGTTAGCGGAGGCTTTTAATAAAATCCAAATTCAGACAAATCATAATAACCGTAAAAAAGAAAGAACCTTTCTCTAACCCCCATATCTTTTGAATCTGGATTTTGTTTTTAATTTATGCATTAGGCAGACAGCTAGACACCAGGGATTGATTACATTTCTAAATCCTCCCATTCAAAACAGATGAGCTTATTCTTGAAAACGAACTATTCGATTCAGTTGCTCACGATAAAGCTTTTTAAAATATGAATGTTGACGTAATCCCCCTTTTTATAAGTTAGCCATCAATGATCAACAGTTTGCTGCTGTAATTAACTACTGTCACATCCGCACAGTGTACTGTATGTGCTGTATGTAACGAGAGTTGTCCGTTTCTGGCGGTGACCCCCTCACCTGCACTAAAGTCATCTGTGAGCCAAGTGCCAGGAGAATTTTCTCTGTTTTTGTCGGGTAAGGATTATCTCGGTGTTTGTAAAGCCACTGTTTGAGAGGACGAGCCATATCCTGCAGAGCCTGTCGTTTATGTCTCACTTTTCCTCCGTTTTGACGGGACCTGAGGAGACAAATTGAGAAAAATACATCCAACGCACTTTGCGTCACCCGGGAATTGTGCGCCACCAGTTCGAACATACTGCCCGACTTTATTGGCTGTAAAGATTTATTATCCTATCATATCCTATAAATGTATATCATCTGCGGAAACACTAAAAGACCAGAATGTTACGGACTGTAACAACTGTTTAACTGAACGCGTTTCAGCCGAAAATAGAAAACCGACAGCTGTATTATTTCTGTTTTTATTATTTCACATTTGGTACCTGTTCAGTGTTTATCTATTAACGTTCGGAAACATTAAAATATATAAATCGAACATATAACCAGTTTCCAATCAATATCTATTTAGAAAGCCTTTACATTAGTAATTCTTACAGATGTCTTCCTAACAGTACAAATAGTAATGGCAGTTCCTTTTTTTCCTCTTACGGCACATTATTCATATGAGGTGTATTTAAAAACGAGAAAAATCACCTTAATGACATTTACTATACTGCTGATCTTAAATAAACGCGAACTAAGCTCGACGATTAAGAATCATTTCTAGACATCAAACAAATCCATAAAACAGAATGCCAGCTCAATTCAAAGGCAAAGCACATAAATGGCACGCAGAATCACGTCTGTAGTAAGACATTTAATCTGTTAATGGCGTTTAAACTTCAAATCCATGCCCGGTCAATCAAATCAGTACACCTGAAGGGCAGTTCTATGTGTCTGTTCGCTTTTCTCCATCTAGAAAGTATAAAAATATTTCCTTGTCATTATCATCATAATGTTGAACACCAACGTGTTTGGTATCTGTAATTGCACAGAACATTTACTGTTAAATGTTGTTGTTGCAGCTGCACAACAGCTACACGTTTAGCATATTTCTGTAATACAGGAAAAATAAAGCTTTTTTTATATGAACTTGTACTCTCACTAGAGATACCCTCGACTAATCGGATTTTACTGTGAACCTTTTAGGATTTCTTTCATCAGTCACGATTTGCGCCTTTTGTGTAACGCTTATTTCTGGTCTGTAGGTGGCACGACCGAGCCGTCAAAAGAACTTTTCATCTTCTCCGAGACATCATTGCAGATGTGACATATTTCCTTCTGCCCTCAAGTCTCCCTGAGGTTCATGTTCTACAAATATTTCCCTTGTAATCTAGATCTGTATGAACAAAATAAAAAGAACATTTTACTCCCTGTACCAGCCTTTGGCGACACGCACTTCGTGTTTATATTAATATTCTTTATTAGTAATATTCCCACTGAAAGGGCACTTTTCAGTCTTTATATTAGCTTTAGGTCTCACTTTACACACAGAACGCATTACAATATCTCCAACACAGACCAAAGCAAAGTAACGTAAGAATGTTTACATAGGCTGACTTTATATTTCATGCAGAATCGAGTCGGATGTGTTGTTGGTTTTAAATCGCAAAGCATTATTAAAGGTCTGGGCCTGCAGTATTATCTGCAATTTATAGCTTATGTCTCTCATACGTAATCACCAAGAGCAGTTAATAGTAAGTGCATCGGCAATTTCTGAAACTAATCGATGACGTGATATAGTACAGTATATATTCGTAGAGATTCTAACAAAATACATGACTGACTGGACCGCACAAGCAGTTCAAGGGTGTACTTATTGTTGGAAAACGGAGCGTAATACGTGCGTTAAAATAAAGAACAGAATGAACTACACTTCTTGAATAAATCGACTAAAGGGTTAACGTCAGCTTAAATGTACCTAAATCAGAGTAACCCATGTGTTTTAATTATCTACAAGTTTATAAACAACGACGAGCCTTCTGAGTTTTCCTGTTATTTTCACAGTATACTAGAGTTGTTCATTTCACGGATATATGTTTTATGAACTGTTTTTTTTTACTTGGTTAGAATGTGCCGGAATGAATACTCCGGCTGTTTATACCGTGCGATGTGTCTGGTACACTAATACATTTACGAAGAAACTTACTGATCAAGAACTTTCTGGTCACATTGAAATTGAAACAAAAATTAAAAGTAACTAAAGTTTTCTTTACTAATATTCACATTCTTCCCGTTTGTTTCATTTATATACTGTATATGTGGGTAGCTCTTTCAATTACAAAGACAAAATAATGGCATGCTACTGGCGACACCAACTCTAATTTTTAAACGTTTAACTGATTTTTTTCTGGTATGAAAAAAAAAGTGCGTAACCAAGCGTCGGGATATAAAATCCCCTACTGCTGCCTAATTTTCTTTACCTTTGTTGTTTTCTGAAAACAAAGTAAAAGTACATACCCGGATCTCCGGTGCCTGATTCCGGAGCTGTCTTTGATAGAATGGTTTGAGATTATATCTGGATGTTGTCCATCAATAACTTCTAAATAGTTTCTACTGCTCCTTTCAACTTCTTTGGCCTTTTCTTCAAAAAGGACCTGATTGCTTAGTTTATTAAACACGATCGTGTTCATCTTTGGTGCTGTATTCCCTTTATTTTGGTCTCCTGGTGATCGATGCGCAACTATGCGAAGAAACTGCAGTGTCTCCAGTTACTCGTCCTGTGAGAAAAAGCAAACGGTTTCAGCATGAGAATACTTTCTACACACTTTTAGTGCAGAAGCGAGAAAGTGCATTATTTTGAAACGAAACGACGTATCGCCTCCCCGATTCGGATACACACTTTTGTGTGAAATGTTCATCGTCGTTTTACTTTTTTTAACTGCCGTTCTAAATTCCACTTGGGATGGATGCAGATCCGAATCTTCGGCAAGTTTCGATGTAAAAGAAGTTGCCATTTGCTTTATGAACAAGGGTCGTTTACTTGGCGTGGATCTCTCCACATCATGTTTGTCACGAATTACTTTCTTTTTCTGATTTTATCTCCACATAGACAGAAATACATGCCCCCCGACCACCACACACACACAGGCGCACCGAAAAGACACGGAGACAGAAACCTCCGAAAAGTAACTTGATAAAAAAAATCAATTACAAATAGTGCCCCGCTACGAAATAAGGACTGGTCAACATTTACTGTATTATATTTGTTATGATTTTTGCTTTTGCTAATTATTACTGTGTGCGCGTATTGGTAGGGTGACATTTACAAGAAGGGCTACAGTTCTGTATAGTCGCACAGGAAATATATTACTCTTAATATATGGGTAATGCTATACGACTGTCCATGACATGTATATTCAGTTATCTATGTTATTGGTCCTTCAGTGTGCGATAATGCGTTAATCACTTCTATAACAAATCATTTTCACATTTTTGTGCGTGTATGAGCCCAGTCCACACTTCCAGAACGCGATGTTACAGAAAAAGACTAAGCAAATAAAAAATGTTTCTTCTGAATGCATTGCAATGGATGTCTTCCAACGTGCTTATTGACTTAAGTGTACAGACAGCTCGGTGTTTTAGTACTTTCCGATAGAAGAGGGCTCTTTTTTAGAGTCATATAAACTGCAGCCTCTTTGGTTTTTTTTTTTTTGTATAGTTCACATATTTATAGTTTTACAAACGAATAACTGGAATTATATCTGATTTATTTGAAAGGGCATATCTTTACACGCTGAAGTCTGAGGTCTCAATTTTATTTATATCTTTTATTGAGCGGAATATGTGGTTCGTTATCCGTTTTCGCAAAACATGTCATTTAAAAATAAAATGCTAGACATTAACTGAATAATGTTAGGTGTTTTGAAACTGTAACCCATCTAAACCTGAAATGTTAATAACGAGCCATTCAGGTTATATCTAAAAGGCTGCATTCCTTATCATATCTCTTCGCTTGAGCAGAAACGCTGAAAAAGCCTCTCTAAACAGAATCCGCTATCGGACGCGTGAAACCTTTCGGTTTAGAATCAGCAGAGCAGAGAGGAGCTGAATAAATCCCATTACCTGTAAAGCGCCCCTCCTGCGTCTCTCTGTAGCGGATAATCCAGTTCCCTGTGTCCCATTCCACGCTCACATGTTCTCCGTGCTAAGTTCCTGAGCTCAAACCACAAGAACCGCGGCCGCCTCTGTGCTTTATTCACCAAGCCTGGGCGAGCGCGCCCGGGAATATGAATTCCGCACCCTTCTCATGTTTCTTAGCTAAGCGCCGCAGCCTGCGAACATAAAGTTAATGCTCTATGCCTGTTCCGCGGCTCAAGGAGAGGGAGGCTACTGGGTTACATCTCTACAGTGTTCCCTGTGAGTCTCAGTCTGGACGGATTCCAGCAGCCGGTCAACAGCAGACAAGCGCAGCTTTTGTTTACTGTGATGGAGATCCTCCTTGGCGCATTATCGCGCAGCTTCGCGATACGGAGGGCAAAGAGACGGGGAAATAAAATCAGATTTGCTTCAGTTCGCTAAAAGGGGTGCAACGTCGTTAAGTGGACCGAATAAGGAGAACGAGGAGAAGCTTTATGAGTAAAGTGAACAAGTAACAACCTTACGAAGTATCTCGACTGAAAAGGCATCGCAGTTTATGTCTGTGGGTTGAGTATAGCTCCTTTTCTGTGCAGAATTAGTCATAATTGGCGCTAAAGTCGGCTAATACCCATTCTTCACCAGTGAAATAACCAGCACTGGAGCAGTCCGTGTCTGTTAAGACACCTACTGTACTGTACAAACTGCGACTGAAACCGCTTTCAAAGGCTTGCCTCATCCGCAGAATAAACCTCGAGCACCAAACATACTGTCTGAAAATCCGTCATATGTGTCTCGACGGCAGAATCACACAATACTGTACTGTAACATCGCGTAATTGCGGAGAAGGGCGATTGCTAAGCAAACGAAACTAATCATAATAAAATGTTCACTGCGTGTGGTAGCCTGACAGTCGGAACTCGTTTTCAGTATTAGTCTCAGGCTTGAAGGATTGATATTTCGGCTAGGAGATGAAAAAGTCAACAAACGCAGGGCGAAGGCTGGTAGAGACTGTGAAGTGGGGGATATGCATTCAAATGATAAATGGAAACAAAAACTGGAATGATCGTACTGTTTTCACTATAGTCTATACTGCTTCACTTTTACTTTAGCTGTAACTAAAAAACAATATTCACACATTTTCTGCAGAGAACTGGCAATTGTAACGGTATACGGGCTATCAGAGTTATATTTGCTCGAAATAGGAACAGATGTTTAGATGAACTCGACTCGATGTTCTATCACTTTATGATTTATGCCCTTGACACAGTAATTGTTACAAAAAAGCCTTTTCACAATGATTTAACAATTTCAGCACAAGGGTTGTCACGTTCTGAAAAAAACAACAACCCAAAGCTCTCAACCTTTTGAGTGCATTTTTCAGCACATCAAAGACAGATTTGTTGATAAACATAAAACGACAACGACGAAGTTGGACACACTCCTGTTAGCGTTTTAAAGGACATTTTGTAATTTTTGTGATGTCAAACCCATTCACGCGTTGCGTAAGATGCTTTACACGTCATTATGCGTTGCAAGTTATTAATGTTTTCTCATTTTATTAGGCTGACTCCTTTTTCCAAAGCGACATAAATTCGCACCTTTCGTACAGCTGGGCACCTAAGTAGCCTGCGCAAAACCTTGCTCCAGGGTATGACAGCAGCACAAACACGGGATTTGAACCCACAGCCTTCCTGCCAGAAGCGTAGAGCCCATAAACACTACTGCACACCTGTGCGTAGTTTGCTATGGTTGTGTTTTTGGTATGTCACTGTTAATATTGGTTTTTGACACGCGCAGCGAACTGAACACTGTATTATAACGATACAGTGTTATCTATGACTGCATATTGAATATTGCTATGAAGTGAAAACTGTATCTCTATACGTAAATTAGCAGACGGAGAAATTGTAAATACACATTAAAAACAGAAAAGGAGCGGTAGCCCGAGAGCTGAAGTGCGCGTAGTTCCGAGACCAGCCTGCACGATTACAAAGTAATAAAGTCCGTTCGCGTACTTCACCAGACCCCGATACTATTGTGTCAAATACAAAACTGCAACGGCATTGGGAATACCACGGGCGAGCTGGAAGAACTCGAAGCTGGTAAGGACCGGTACGTGAAGCGCCGCGTAAGTTTTTACGCCAGCTCTGTAAGGCCGTGGTGTTTGGATTTGCCCGTGTGCCACCGTCCCGGTGAGGGGACGACGCGTGTGCTTGTCAAAGCGCAGCTCATTCACCCAGGCTTCAACTTGAACTGCTAAGTGAGGAAGTACAGCACACGCCTGTCTGCTACTGTACGGTTTTGTTGTTGTTTGCCATTCCTGAATCATTCATCCGTCAAGAGGCCAATCAAAGGACACATTACTGCCTTGCCGAGGTAAAACTCTACAGTATGTGGTTCAGACTGAGGTATCCTGCTGCTCATCCCACGCTTTCTACCACTGGCAACAGAAAGAGCTGTACAAGTGTAGTGTTAATAATGACGAAAAGTTCCTCCTGTAAATCCTTGGTTATAGGTCTGTATTCATTAATTTGGAAAGTTATTACTTGTTTGCTGTCAACACACACTTAATGTATGTACCGAGGGATGGTGACTAAAGTAGAGTCTGTATCTGGGATATGGATTATGGGGTATTTAATTTGAAGTTTAAGGTGAACTCGTAAAAGACTCCTGTACTGAGTTAGTAGAGGGTTGTTCACTAGACGAAATCGGCCTCGGACGAAGTATCGTAATGGGCCCGTGAATCCGGTGGAATAGGCCAGATGAAAACATATCTTTACATTTGGGTTGCCAAGCTTTTAGTACAAGTAATACAACTTTTAATAATGTATATTTGTTTTTGTTAAGAAATAATAGTTTAGCAAACATATAATAAAGGAGCGTTTTCTAAATATTTGTTTACATATCAAAAATAAATAATATTTAACTATATTCATTTGGAATTTGTATTAGATTTTTTTTAATTCACCGTGTGACCTAATTTGTTTTATTATTGATTTGGAAAATGTAAGAAGCACCGGAGTTTCAAGATGACTTTCTATGTGCAAAACAGAATCATGGACAGACAAATCTCCCCCCCTTTCCAAAATGACATTTATTTTGTACTGAGAAAAGTACGTTTTTTTCGTATTAAAATAACGAGAAGTAAACATTTAAATAACATTTCGAGACCCACAAATTAAAGCTGTCGACGTTTAGTTTAAAGCATTATGGGTTCAATGTGTGTTTTCGTGTCAGTCATTGAGAAAACGTTGCTAAAGACATTTCAGGCAAAGGCCTCCGTGAAATTAACCGATTCCCTTTCTGCCTCTGCCACATTGCCCCCGTGTGTCATTCCAGTCGACAAGGCCAGAACTCACTTAAAGGATTGTGCAACACTCTCTCGTCAGATTACTTTATTTCATTCGCTAAACCTCATGAATATAATCCAGACATAAGATAACAACTACAAAGATTCCACGAATGGTCTTGTTGCGCATAATTTGTAATCATTCATAAAGGTCGGAAGTCATAGTACAAAAAACGCCCGCTCCGTATAATACTGAGTTTCTGAAAGTAAGCGGTATAGAGCTACATAAACAAGATTGACAAAACGCACGTCGTGGCGCACAACTATATTCTAAGCAGCCAAATATGTTTCATTGAAGATTCGTGATTACTGAGATAATTTAATAAGCACCAGCTAGAAGTGATACTATTCGAGAATTTTCCCGTCTCCTCTTTGTCGGGGATTTGAGGATTAGCAGCACTACTGTGTTTCACCATGTGGTAAATGTTTTGATTTGTGGACAGTGGAGAGACAGCTCAAATCAAAGCGTTTAGGTCATTTTAGGCACTTTACTCACTTGCCTCTTGTGAGTTCTACATCTCCAAACTAATACAGTATATTTTCTGTCGGTTTACCTATAGTACATTTTTTTTTGTAAACTTCACCAACACTTACAGTATGATTCAAATTTAATTGTAACATATTACTATCAAATGACGTCTTTATACAAACAAAACGTTTCACCCTATGAGCAAATTTCATATTATGCATGATTGACGGAGTTAAAGAACTTCTTGCCTTAAATCCTATTCCAGAAAGTTGGTTTCTCTTTGTTGGCTGCAGTAGCTAAGGCTGAACACCAGATGTTAATAACGCCTGTCAGATCTGGCGACTAGTCGAGCCTTTCATTCAAAGTCTTGTCTCGGGGAAGTGGAGCTCCCAGCCTGCTTTCATGTTCTCAGACCCTGCAACCGGCCGCGGCCGCAGCACAGCTGAGTTTCTGAAACGGGCGCAGGCTGGCATTTCTCCGTGACAGATGGCTGAGCTGGAGAGCGCCCTGACGTGGTCGTCACAGGGCTGAGGAGCCCGGCGGCGAAGGATCCCTTGGCAACGGCCCCTCACCAAGGCCGGCGCGTGTTCGGGAGTGCTTGCGCAACGGCCTTCAGCCTGATACTCAGAGCGTCGGAGAGAAGGATGTCGTTTCTCATTCAGACGCCTGTGATGTGGTGGTGCGCAGAAGGCATCTGCTTTGTTGTCTTCACCCTGTGGTTCTGTAACCACCCTTGGTACTGAATAACATAAGAAAAGGTTACAACCAAGAGGAGGCCGTTCAGCCCAGTTTAGCACGCTGGGTAGTGAGTAGTTAGTCAACACAACTACGAAGGATCTCACCCAGCCCTTTCTTGAATGAAACCAGAGCGTCAGTTTCACTAACATGGCTGGGTGGCTTGTTCCATACTGCCTTTGGGCAGAGAAGTGCCTCCTGTTTTGGGGCTTTGAAATGCGTAACCCACAACAAAAAAACACAACACACCCACAACCCGTCGCCATGGTGACGGTAAAAATAAGACGCTGGGTTTGTTCTAAAATGCTGGTGCTGAGGTTGTCGTGTGGTGTGGAAGGCCATAACAAACCCTTGCAGAGTGAGTATAACTTCCTCTATCCTCATGAATTGCAAAGGCGGACCGAAGACTCGGTGAAGACTATAAGTGCTGGGCAGCTTTCTTCCACCTGAATAAGACCAGTCTTCAGGGCAGCAGGGTAGCACAGGGGGTCAGAGTGTGGTTTGAACAAGGATGGACCACTGTCCCAACAAGTGCAGCAAGCTCTGAGGGCTTTACAGAAACATTTTTATTCATGTGAGTGGTAAATTTAGCCAATGGGCAAGTAAACAAAGCCAGCCTCTTCTCATTCAAAAACCTTGACACTGGTAAATTAAACTCTATTATATTATAGAAAAATAAGATGCATCAGTCAAATATTTTCACAGATTGAGGATGTGCACATACAGTACATGTACTGTAGAATTCAACATGCCTATACCAGTTATTAATAATAAGGGTACGCTCATGTCGATGAATTTTCATGATGGTGATGATGATACCACTAATAACCGTCATGTCCGCCCTGGGTCCAGTGTCCCGCGGGGAGGGCTGATGTCAGCGTGGTAGCCGACGTTGACGGGAGGGTGGGGGGTGCGGCTGGTTACCACGGACACATAGGCAGATAACCTAATCACCTGTGCACTGTTATGAGCATACCAGCCTGAGATGGTGCAGACTCTGGCACAGACTCCGTTCATGAGACGTCATCCTGAGAGGTCGCTCCTTGCTTTGTTTTCGAGTTCCTGTGTTCTCTTGTTGCTTGTTCCCAGGTTCCTGTTCCTGTGTTCCCCAGTCGCTGTCTTTATTCCTGTGTTCCCTGTGCTTTGTTGATTTGCCCCAAATCTGCTGCTGGATCTCCCCCTCAGCTTGGGATATCTATTGTGCGTACGTCCGTTTCGGACCCTGGCTTGCTCAGCCAGCGCTCACGGATTCCTCCCCTCAGGGCTTTGGGCAGTGTTTGGTTTTGATTTGTTTGACCCTGAGTCCCATCTGCGCAGTCCCAAACTGGAACAGCGCTGCTTGACAGCAACCTGGTAGGCTGCTGCGCTACAGAGCTGCAGCATCCTCTCCAGTTAACGCGCAAAGCCCTCGGCTCTGCCCCGGCGTGCGCGCAGCACTACTCACTACTCGG